AAGATGTCAATAACATATAGAAAAAAAAATTGGAGTTTTCTGGAGTTTCAGCTGGAGTTCCGATTTTTCTTTTTATGGAGTTGGAGCTGGAGTTGGAGTTTAGAAAAATTTTTTTTTTGGAGTTGGAGTTGGAGTTGGAATGAAAAATGTCCACGATGCAGTTCACTATCGATCAGTTACGAAATAATAATAGACCAATATTTATGGACAAACGTAATCCATATGTGCTAATTAATGATATTTTGTACAAAGTGAAAAATTCAAATAGACATTATAACCAACGGGAAATTGGAAATAAACACCTTTTGGTTATTCCAAAGTCTATGCAACAAAAATTACTATCTTGGGCACATGATAATCCGTCAGCTGGTCATGGTGGTCAACAAAAAACATTATTTCGATTAACTACTCGTGTATTTTGGAACTCAATACGTAAAGATGTATATAATTATGTGGCGTCATGCCAAGCCTGTTAACAATTTAAATATAATAACACCCCGTTAGCAAACCCATTACAGATGCATACTGTTAATGAGCCATGGCATACAATTGGTATAGACATTATGGGTCCTTTTCCCAAAACAGCACGACAAAAACGATTTTTACTTGTCATAGTTGATTATTTTACACGTTGGATTGAAGTATTTCCTTTACGTACAATAACATCAATCGACATTGCTCAAATACTCATTAATGAAGTATTTACAAGATACGGCATGCCAACCTTTATTTTATCGGATAATGGTCCACAGTTCGTATCTTTTCTCTTTCAACATTTTTGTGAAACTTTAGGAATTGAACAAAAATTTACAGCAAATTATCATCCACAAACCAATTTAACAGAACGGGTCAACAGAACCTTGAAACCTATGTTAGCAATTTTTGCACACGAACATCCTCATTCTTGGGATAAAGAAATCCAAAAATTAGCTTTATCTATTCGGACATCTATAAATGAAACTACTGGTGAAACTCCAGCTTTTATGATGTTTGGTCGAGATTTAAAGTTACCTATGGATTTAATAATTGGCGAACCAACCCAAGGTCCACCACCAACGTCAATCGATCCTATACAAATTAATGAATATCGCAAAAATTTAATACACAACTTGCGGAGCACATACAACTTCGTTCGTGAACATTCAGAAGTAGAAAAAATAATTCAGAAAAGGCAATATGATCAACATATATCTCAACGACAATTCAACGTTGGAGATTTAGTATGGATTGCAACAATTACTCCTCAAATAGGTGAAGTTCCATTAAGTAGAAAGTTTCAACCAAATTATCAAGGTCCATGCCGACTAGTAGAACAACTTGGTCCCTCAACATTTATAGTACGTCGAATAAGTGATGGCGTGAATTTAGGAGCAACCAACATTGTTCGAATGAAAAAATATTTTCAACCAATTTCAGATGATCAATCATCAATAATATCAGAAAATATTCAAATGATAGAACCAGCAAATATCGACAATTTAATTATAAATGATGAAGTTCTACGAACATCAGATCAGGATCGAAACACAGATGTAGAAGATTCATCTACAGAAGAAACACAGAATACAACAGAACAACCAAAGTTACGACGGAAATCGAGTCGGAAGCGTCAACTTCCAGCCCGATATCGAGATTCAATTTGATATTTCAATCTAAGGAAAATGTGTATGGATAACATCCGGTCAACCCATACACAATGATTAGGACCATTAGAAAAATTAAACCAAATATTCAACACCTCATAAAAAATTATAAGAACTCAGTAAAATTATATACTCTTAAGGAATGTAATGGAAAAAACTTAGTATACTATTTAACAAGACAAGGACAAAATTATCCAGAAGAATATTAAATGAAGTAACAGTCAAACGAGGATAATATTATTAACACAACGAAAGTGGGCAAGGATACTATTATTAGCACGATGAAAGTTAACAAGGACCAGGGTTGAACGACAATGATGTCATTTTTAAAAGAAAAGATATTAATATTACCAACAGTTTGACGCAACGATAATATTATTAACACCACACATGTCATCGAGAATAAGGATCACAGACAAAGATAAAATTTTCAAGAAAAGATTAATGAAGGCAACCGTTAGATATATGGATATCTCTGTTAATATGAACATTGACATGGCCAACAAACAGAGACAAGGATAACTTCAACAAGGAGAATGATAATCATTAGCAAAAAACGAACAGTCAAAGTTAAGGACGACATTATACAGAAGCGTGCAGTTCTTGAATAAGATGGATAATCTTACAAAGAAATCAATTAACAGCGAAAGGAAAAAAAAAAAGGAAAGGAAAAAAAACACACCGAAGTTACAAATATTATGATAGACGCTAGAAGAATATTTACACTACGACAAAGAAGTAATGGCCTTAATTAAACAATTACCTTTAACAATTTTAGTACTGGTAACTATTATAAAGTTGGGCATAACGATAAGTACAAACGTTTTGTCGTTACCCAAATCTGATATTGTTCATACTGCATCAGGATTAGTGTTACATTATGTGTCGGAATATCGACCTTCCAACAAAATTGTTACATTTACAGTTACATTTCCCATGGTAGAAGACATGTGCTACTTAATTCCGGTATTGGCTATGCAAAAAATCCCGGGATGTCGAAGTCAATTTGCAAAAACACGTCCCGCACAAATGAACAAAAAACGTCATCCAACTCAAGATAAAACACACATAACGAAATTAAATTCCGAAAGAAGGGAAACACGTCCTAAACGATTGATTGCAGAGATTATCTCTATAGCAGTGGGTGCAGCATCTCTTGCTTTGACAACAGCAAATACCTTTCAGATTTCGGAATTGAAAAGTGAAGTAAGGTCTCTCACCAATTCCCTACAGTCAAGAGATCAAATTATGAATAACAATCGGGCTCAAATTCTCCATTTGAATGAAGGTCAGTTCAAATTAGTACACGAATTGAACCATACGGAATTTGCCTTAAATCAAACAATTCAACTTGTTAATGAACACTCGGAAATACTACGCCAAACAGAAGACAAGATGCGAACAATCCATTCAATGACACTTTTTCTTAATGAAAGACTTGCTGCACTTATCCATGCCGTGGAGGCGCATTTTATACATACATCAATTGAAAATATAATGAAAAACAATCTTAACTTAGATTTTATTCATCACAAAGATTTACCTCGAGTAGTGGAACTTATCGTGGAAGCAACGAATATTACGTTCGATGATTCAAGCAGTGCAATACCCATCATTGCATTAATTTCCAAATTACTCGTACAACAAAGAATCGACTTTATTCCAGTGAAATCAAAACAAACAACACAAAATGGAAATATAATTGGAAAACTAGTCTTTACTTCATTTTTTGCAGCTTCTGATCTAAATCAACCAACATTTTTAATTTATGAACTCGTGGCTATCCCCTTTAAACACGGATCAAATCGAGTTAGATTAGCACAAATGCCAGCATTTATTGGAATTGATCCAAAGACATTACAATTTGTTCGTTGGTCAACAGATGAAGCTAGTTCTTGTGATTTTACACTTATGTCATCTTGTCGAGAATCACCAGCAATCAGAAAAGACTTAGAAGATAACTGTCTCTATCAAATTTTAACTGATTCTCCGTTATCAGCATGTCGAGTAGAAGCATTTGCTGATTCAGTATTTATTCATCGCATTGGACAACATTGGGCCGTGTCAACAAACTCAACTACTAAATGTCATTCAGTTACAACTTCGGATATGGAACAACATAAAATCACAGGCAATGAAGAAATCACTTTGCCACCAGTGGCTCTTATTACAACCATCGACACAAATTCTTTAGCTTGTGATCGGTTTTATCTACCAGGCTTACCTATCAAACTAGGAGCAACAGTTTTATTAATACAAAATTCAACAGTCAATCCAATTGAAGAAGACTTCATTGACTTACATTCAATGATCGGCAATAGTACTCATTGGGCGAAATTACCATATATCCCATCAAATATACAAGCTGTAATTGATTTCATATCAAATACTCCAAAACCAGAAACAATATTGGGATATAAAGAATGGATAAATCATCCTCTTTCCTTCACAGGAATTATAGTGGCATGTATTAGTGTCATTCTTATTAGTGTTTTAGTATATTATCTTCGCTCAAAGACGAACAACAGTACAAATTTCACAATCACCATGCCATCTTGCGCTCTAGACCTAGCGACAATTCAATCAATCAAATCCACTAATGTCCATTAAAATATAGATACATTTATATAAAAAAAAAAAAAAAAAAAAAAAAAATTTTTTTTTTTTTTTTGTTTGTTTGTTTTGTTCTCTTTGCCCCTGAACTGTATACAGAGTGTTCTTGTTCAATTTCTTATCGTATACATTATGCGATATAGACGCTCGGGAGCGCGTCTCAATTAGAGGGGAAGGTGTGCCAAGAAAATAGACGGACATCCTTTCGAACGACACTCCTTTTATCCAGTTCAGTACTACGTGATCTTTTCTCCCCTACTTCCAGCTTCCTTTCCTCTCGGTATACATTCTTTCTCCTTGGATTTTTCTCCGTATTTCTCTCTCGTTCTCTCTCTCTCTCTCTTTCTCTTCCCTTTTCTTTTTCTTCTCGGAAGATATTCTGATACAGCAGAAGATAGTGGTATCGAGTGAGAGTAAGACGTACACGACACCAGTGGAACGTACGTTCTGAGAAGTTATTCTGAATTGAGACTCGAAAACGGAATAGAGTCTGAACCTGAAGCACATAAAAAGAAGTTATATGTATACGAACAGAATCTAGTGTGTATTTTTGTTGTGTATACTCAATATATTTATTGTTATTTGTTCTCCTTACTATTATTCAATAAACAATTACGTTTCGCTGCTGTCCAAACGTTTTACACCATTTCTCCTCGCATGACCTATATGCACCGATTAGATATATTTTCCGTTACAATTGGCGATCACACCAGGATACAAACAATAACAATTCAGAACAATATCTTATAATAAATAGAAATAATACAGTTACAAAATTAAGTACGGATAAAATGTCGACTGAACAAAAAGTTACCTTGGAACACGCTATTCAACTCCTTACAGAATCATGTTCCAGTAACCAGAATCAAGTTACACAATTAGAAAGTAGAATCGAGCAAATTAATGATAAGTTGGTTAGAACAACGGCTATTTTAGAAGAACTTATGGCAAAAGTAGGCAATTTAGAAGAAAGAAGAAATGTGGAAGAAGTTAGGCAGCTTAATGCTCAAGAGAGTGATAAAAAAGTTAACGATTTGTTGACAAGGTCACAATCCATGGATGAAGATACACATCAGCCTTATTATGTCAAGGACGTATCTCCAATGATTCAAAAAGCAGTTGTTACACCGTTAACTTCGCGTGCAATTATAATACCACCATCTTCTTCGATACCGACTTTTTCTGGAAAACATTCTGAACGTCCAAAACAATTTCTTGTTCGTATACAAGAATATGCAGAAACGGTTCATGGATGGGATCGTTCAACATTACTTACCGGTGTCTCAC